CTGAGGAGCTGTTTTGTTTGGTGTGTGTGGTTCTAAAAATAAAGTTGGTTTCTTTTGACAAGTGGCTCCTGAATTGTGCCCAGACAGACTGTGGCACTCCCTTTCCTTTAGGCTAGGAGGATTGTGGGATTAGAAACTATAGTCCATGCAGCAGAATCCCCCAGAGCCTCACGTACACCTGGACCACCCAAGGGGACCCGGTTTAGAGATGGTCTTTGCAGATGTGAGCATGCAAGGGACTTTGGAAGGAGGCCATGGTGAATCAAGGCTCAGGGAAGGAGCCCACGTGAAGACAGAGGATGGGAGAGAAGCCACCTGAAGGTGGATGAGGTGAGGAGGGTCTCCCCTGAATTCTCTGGGGGAGCACGGCCCTAGGGGTACCTTCATGTAGGCTGTCTGGCTTCCAGAACCAAAGGGCAGCTCCTTTCTCTTGGATTCAGTCACCAAGTATTTGCAACAGTCCTGGAAATCTAGTACAGGAGAGGTGGCACTTGCCAAGGGTTTGGAGCTACATGCCTCTCATGTTTTCAGATCCACTTTGCCTCCTATTATCTAGGATTTTTTCCCTCTGCGATGATTAAATAGTACTGTTCAAAGTCAGCCAAGAAATTGTATTTGGTGTAGAATCAGTGTCTTCTGCCATGTGTTTGGGTGTATATGAGTGTGACCTTATTTTGAAAAGGTGTCTTTGCAGATGTGACTAAGTTAAAGGAGGTCATGGTGGGGTGAGCCATGACTCCAATATGACTGGTGTCCTCAGGAGAAAAGAAAGAGAGACCCAGGAGGATATCAGCTGGTGGAAACAGCCAGTGGGGGATGCCCCCAAGCCACAGAGCAGCGAGGAGCTGACAAGCACCCAGAGCCGAAGGGAGGGCAGGGGAGGTGCAGCTTTGGAGCCTGCAGAGTGCACAGCCCTGCCGACACCTGCGGTCAGCCTTCCTGCCTCCAGGAACAGGAGCCTCGCTGCCCCGGTGCCCAGCAGTGGCCCTGCTGTGGCAGCTACAGGAAGCTCCCACGGGGCCCACAGCCTCTGGCTTTGTTGGGTTGATGCAGAAGTGACTCCTGTGCCATTGCCACTGTAGCTCCCAGTCCCTGCAGACCCCTCCAAGCTGGCTGTGCCCCCACATCCCTCGTCACCACCACGCCCAGAAGTGAAGAGGGACAGTCACCTCTTTCCCTCACTGCCACTTTCGGAACATTTTTCCTCTTCCTTCCTGAAAATCTCCAGCTCTGAACGTCATGCCATGGTCCTCCTGCCTTTCCCAATGACCAATGGCCGTCACCCGATATCTGCAGCCACTGTCCAGTGCCACAGGATGATCGGCATCTGACACACACGCAGACAGACAACCCTCTCAGCATCATGGTCTCCCCTTTTCAGGAAACTGTCTCAGAAGAGCACATTCTTTCCATTGCTGCGTCCTTTGTTACTGCCCACGTATAATCAGTGAGCACCCCTGTCTGTCTATCACCTCTGCTTTGGGTCCCTCACCCCACTGTGTCCTCTTAGCATTCCTCCCAGCCTGGGCACTGCCCTCAGCCTCTTCACCTCTGCATTGCCCCCCTTACTTATCCCATGTGCTGTGGTCAGTGCCAGCATTGACCTCCTGCAGCACTCTGGACTCCCTGGCCCCTCTCTTCCTCAACTTGCTTGAATGGCAATACTGCAATCCAGCCAAAGCCAAATCTCCTCTGTTGACAAATATGGACACTTCTTTAGCTGAACTTGATTGCATGAGATCACAACCACAGTGCTTCTTCTGTCTTGAAGTGCGTGACCACGAGCCTCCACACCACTGATCAGTCCAGATGCACACATGGTACACAGTCCCTGGGTTGCTCACCTTCTCCTGTCCCCTCCACACAGCCTGGTGCTCACCTTGGTGTCTTCCTCGCTGAGAAAACTGATGGATAGAGTCAGAGAGAAATTCTTCACATTCCCAACTTGTGAACCCACCACCAGTGTCTGTGCCAACTTATTCTGACTCCTGTGTGTGGCCACCAATGCACCATCTCTGCTTTTACCTAGACCACTCTCTCCAGTGGTCCACCAGGTTCCAGTTGCTCCTGCCTCGTCAACATCAGGAACCAGCAGCTCCTCGGCCGTATCCTGCATCACAGTGTTTTTCCTAAATAACTGTCCATTTGCGATGGCTTAAAAACCTCATGCTCCACTTTCTTCTGTGGGGGATGTTTTTCTCTTATTCTCACTTTTCCTGCTTTCTATTTCCTCTCATTGGGAACAACAACCACCAGAGATATCTGTTTATGAGGTGTTCAATAAGCTCATGGGTCTGCTTTTCCGCTGTGGGTTTGAGACCCATGCATGCTGTGCTTCTGATTGATTCCATAAGCTCCCAGGCTGTCATTTTTATTAACAAAACTGATTTGTTTATCAATTTAGGCCTCGTGGGTGTGTCGGGTGGCTGATGGTTGGTTACTTGTTCAAACACGGTGTAGAGTCATGCACCTCAGCACTGAAACTCGAAACGGAGAAACTCACAGCAAACCGCTGCTTTACAGAATGGAGTTGCTCAGGGCAGGCACAGCCATCTCTCCACAGAAGGCCTCTCACAGGACCGTTATGAGCACTTCCCAGGCCCACGGGGAGCTGCCCTGTGGTCTGGGACTCTGTTCATGCACTTTCTTTTGACTACATGCATTCTCCAAATTCTATAAGCTGGATACAATAAGGAAGGAAGACCCTAACGAAACAGCTGGGTGTTGTTCCTTGCTGAGATTGATCTGGTGCCCTGCCTGGGCTTTCCCTCTGAAGGCAGAGCCGTGTTTGCAGCTGTTTCCTGACCCTCCTGGGCAGAGGACAGACAGAGCCACACCTAGTGTGGCTTGGCCAGGACATCTCAAGCCCTGACTGCTGCTACTGGACAATAGAAGGAGAGGGCGTCAGGAGGCCCAGCTGGCGAGGACCTAAGCGTCCTGCAGCCAGCTCTGCAGGATCCCTGACCTGGAACCCAAGGCAGATGGGCCTCTTATGCTCCCAGGCTCCCAGGCAGTTTCTCCCCAGAACACTCCGAACCCCCTTGGGAACGGCTCGAGGACTGGGTTTGCCAACTATCACTAAGGCCAACAGCAAGTCGCTGGCAGGAGCCTCATCTGGTGGAGTGAGCCTGTGGAACTGTGAGCCCCCAATAAGCTTTTCCTCCTCTACATTGCTGTTGCCAGGCCTGCTCATCACCTTGACGGACAGCGTCTAAAGCTGGGCTTATTGTCGCTTGCCTTAGCCCCAGGGGCCCAGCTCCATGTGGATCGTGATGAAGCACAGCTGGCTCCTTCAGTGGCACAAAGGAAACAGAGTCAGAGACTTCCCTCCTGACCTGGAGGCCCGCTGACCCTTTCTTCCTTGGGTTTCTTTTGGGGTAGGAGTGGGGGGTTTAGGATAGGAGAAGCCAGGTGGCCTTTCTGCTTCACTTGACTTCTCCTAATTTATTCTCAATCATGTAAAATTGTTTTTTTTAAGCGAAAAAGGAACAAATTTTATATTTAAAACTTTCTTCAAAAGAATTTCATCCTCCTTCCTGGGAGAGGAAAAGATCTTTCCCTGTCAAGGGAGGGCTGTGTGAAGGCTTGGCTCTCTCTGGGGCTCCAGGGGAGGCCCCCGTCTCGGATCAATAGCTATCGGTTCATGATTAGGCATTGGTGTTCCCCATTAAAACAAAACGAGGCTGTCACCCTGGAAATAATCCTGGAACCATGTTTCAATTTCCAAGAAGTCTGCGCCAAGGGCAGAATATTAAGAAGCACGTGCTTTGGGGAGCTGAAGCCCAGGTTGGAGACACCTCCTCAGGTCTGTTATGTAAGATGATCCGCTTGCTGATGAGGCGTGAATGTTTTTAATGGCATGTTCTGTAGGGTGATTTATTTTAATTGTCACTCTGGGACCTGTTATTACACAGTGTGAGGATGGGTCACTGCATTAGAAAATTGAAGCTGATGAAAGGCATTCCTTCTTATCCTGTTTGTAAATTCAGGCATGGGGATGCGGACGTGCCGACTGTACATGAAGGCTGCGTCACCATCAATGCACCGCCCGCTACCTGTCCTGGGGCAGCAGACGCTCAAGGCTGCATGGCACAGAGTGGCCCTGGCTATGTGGTTTCCTGTGCCAGCCACACTGGATGGCTGGGGCTTGGGCACAGTGATAGACAAAGAGCCTCTCACCTGGGGGATAGCAGCTGTTGGCCACTGCAAGGCAGCTTAAAGGTTGGGGGCCCAGAGAAGAACCAGCCCTAGAGAAGGGAGCAGCTGACCCTGTTGGAACTCGGGCATCGAACAGGTGAGTTGAAGGTGGCTTCCTGCTGCCGTCTCCTTGCGCCTCCCAGGTCACATAAGCCTGGTGGTATCTGTTTTCCATACAGTATCAGAGAGGTCAGTTAACTTGAAGTTACGCTCAGTGAAATACGAGGCCAGGAATAATTTAGTTTGTTGGGAATATGCATAGAAAAGACACATTGTGATGTTTTCTTTAGTGATGAACCCTGCGTCGTGTTTGTATACTTAAACAAATAAAACAGCACTATGAGAACACAGCCATATAGAACAACTATTTTGCAGTCTGAGCTCCTCGGGAAGTATGCTTTCTGTTTGACTCAACAGAACCCCAGGCCAGCCCAGAGGTAGCTGTCTGGGTGGGAGGTGTGGAAGGGGTGAAAGAGGCAGGTGTCCAGGACTCAAGGCAGGATTTCAAGTCCAGTTCTATGAATCTTTAGAGCTTCTACAATAGAACAAAAATACATGAACATGTTTTAGAGAACAGAAAGAAATGCAGTTATTCACTCCATTTTTTGCTTAAATTGAATCCATCTTTTGTGCCTACTAAAATAGAAAATTGCCTGCAATGTAATGTCTAGTCAGTTTCCAAAGCAGAATAAGTAAGTGAGATGTCAAAAATCTCATCTGCTATTTACATAATTACCAGATTAGAAAGGAATTGTGTAAATGCAAATGAAGGTACAGGTGCCTGCCACGTGGAGATTTCACCCATTATAATCGGTTTGTCTAGAAAAATTGTTGCTTTTGTGTCTTCTTAAAGGCATGAAGCATCAAGGATTGAGAAAATCGCATTTCCAATCATACCTGCAGTAGCTGCACAGGTCAGGGACCTGCTGCCGTCTGGGGACCAGGTGGCTGGCTGCACTGCTGCTGGTGGCTGCTCTCCACGAGGCCTCCCTTCCTTTGGCTTCTGTCCTGTGGCCTGAGCCCTCCTCTGGGCTTCAGGGCCTTTCCTGGCGGCTTCTCTTCCTTCAAGGGCTCATCCCCATCCTCTGAGCTGCCGCAGGAAAGCCATTTTTCTGGTTGCTCATGGAGCTTTGCTCCATGGGCCTGAACTGGTGTCTGTAGGACTTTGCGCATTGGTTACTTGTCTCTTTCCCTTGTACTTTTTATACTAATTGAATAATGAACAACTGAAGAGCAGTTTTCTCGTCCGCTGCTCTCCTTGCTGCATTCGTGTGTGATTCTTGCCCCTGCAGATGGAGGGGCACAGAGCTCACAGGAGAGCACCTGGCATAGGGATGCCACGTGTCAGTCTGGAAGTCAGGGAGGCCGGGCCTGGGTGCCCCGGGGCCTGCAAGGTCAGCACGGGTGGGTGGTCTCAGGCAGCGTTGGGAGCCCTGCTTTGCAGCCCTGCTGCCTCCTGCAGAGCCCACTGTGGTGTGTGAGCCCAAGGCTTCTGCAAGGGCAGCGTGGCTCTGAGGACGCCTTCCCTTTCCCTCCTTCCCCTGAATGTCGCCACACAGAGTGCCCTGCTGGGCTCCTGCGCCAGCTCTGCCTGTCTCTTGGAAATTCCTGCCAAGCTGTCGTTATTTGGGGGCCGCTGCCTCCTGCGGGGATGCTGCTCTTGGGTCTGGGTGGGTTGTGATTACTGTGAGGACTGTGTGCTCCCATTCGTTTGTTGAAGGAAATTACGACAGGATATTGATACTTGTGGTCCTCTCTGGGGCCAAGGGTTCTGCTCAATATCGCCTGAACCTCCTGGACCCTTTGGTCAGTCCCATTCGTCCTCACCACTCAGTTGACTGGGTTCAGGTTCACTCAGACCATAGCCTGGAAATCTACTCCCCTCGTCTCTCTTGGGCAGGGTCAGCAGGTCTGGCCACTCAACGTGCTGAACACCCAGGTAAATTTTAATTCCAAATGAACAATGAATAGCTCTCTTTTATAAATATGGCTCCAATCCTGCAGGGTTTTGTTAACATTATTAAAGTTTTTTATTGGTGCACATTTATTATATAGGGCTTTCACTGTGGCACATTTGTGCATGAATATAATGCAGTTGAATCAATTTCTTTTTCCTTGGTTCTTTTTAGTTATAGATGACAGTAGAATCCATTTTGAAAAAATTATAAAAGCAGGGGTATATCTTGCTTTAATTCAGTCCCCATTACTATTATGGGGAGCCGCTTCAGAAAACACTCTAAGTCTGAATTCAAGTCAAAGAGAGCTTTATTTACCTGTCACCCACCCAGAGAGACTGAAGCTCTGGAAAACAGCAATTTCCAGGCCTATATCCTGGGAACTTAAAAAAAAAAAACGCAACTCAGGGGCTTTCCTTAGCATCATGCAGGCAAGCCAATCACAGAAGTTTAGCAGGACCTAATCAGGGATGGAATTTTCCAGGTGGCAATCAAGTAATTTACAGAAGCAAAAAAAGCCATCAGTTTGCAACTCAGTTAACTGCATCTTGGGTCCGAGCAGGTGTTAGACAACTGTATCCTGAGTGGGAGCAGGTGGTTAGCTGAGGCGAGAATCCACTTCAGAGTCTTGGGTCACCAAGACCACCATATCCTGGGTGGAGTACATTTTGTGGCGTACAAAGTGCAGAAAACAATATATTATAAGAAAACAGCTTTCATTTCAATTTTTCAGGAACAGCTCTTGTAACAGTGTATGTATATATATATATATATGGCAGCAAAATGGAGTCTGAGGCCTGCCTATGACAGTTCTTGCTTAATAATTATATTATTCATGTATCAAAATCTTTATCTGTAATCTATATTTTTACTAATCTATAACTTATAACCTACACTCTTATTGATTGTATTTATCAGTTCACACCACTCCTTCCCCTTCCTTCCCCATTCCCTGATCCCCTTTTTCTATTGATCTTTCTGCCATTTACCCATAGTTATTTTTTAAAATTAATTTCTTGTGGATATGCATGATGGTGAGCTTCACTGTGGTTCATTCACATAGGAACACAGGAAAGTTAGGACAGATTCATTCTACTGTCTTTCCTATCGCCTCCTTCATTCCCCTTTGTCTGCCCCTCACAATTTCTATCCTCTCCCACCCCTTACTGTGGGTTAGCTTCTACATAATCAGCAAAAACATTGACTTTGGGGTTTGGGGATTGGCTTGTTTCACTTAGCGTGATAGTCTCCAGATCCATCATTAACTGGCAAGTGTCATCAAGTCCTTCTTCTTCATGGCTGAGCAGTACTCCACTGTGTCTGTGTACACATTTTCTTTATTCATGAGTTGAAGGGCACATACCTTGGCTCAGCAAGTTTTAATACAAGTAACTGGGACACATTCATTGCAGCAATTAGACATTGCTTGTTGAAATTAGAACGGTTTTGTGCGTCCTGGGCTTGCCTGGCCACCCTGCATCCCTCCCTCACCTGCAGGTGGGGTTTAGAGCAGAGGCTGTCCTTCTAGCCTGTGGCCTTAGCAAGTGAGAGCGGAGGGCTGCAGCTTCCCCTCTCAGAGCTCTGTTCCTGTGAGCCTGCTGGGACTTCTTCCTGGGACGTAGAGAAGCACTTTCCTCCTTCAAGGTTCTCCACCCACAGCATATGGTACACGTGGGCACAGCCCAGTGACCCTCATTGTCCTCGTGCACTAGCAGGGCACAGGCTCCCAAGTGACTAAGTGCTGGTGTTTTTCAGCCAAGTTTCTTTTTCTGTCTATAAACTTTACTCTTTTATTTCACAATTCTGAGTTCTGACAGAAGCCCAGTGATGCGTACCCACTGCCAACCCCACCACAGAATGACCCAACCCCTTCACAATCGCCCCCGCCCCCAGCACTTGGTGGGGAATCTGTGCCCCTGCAAGGCCTGGCCTGCTTCCTCCCTTGTACTGTGGCTGTCTCCCCAGTGTCACACACCTGAGTCCCCAGCCTGGAGCCTCTGAAGCTGACTTCTTACCTGCACGCCATCTGGATGCCATCCATTCCGCTGGGAGGATCCATTTTAAGCAAGTGATGCTACCGTCTGCAGATGGCCACTATTTGCTTATCTCTGCGCCAGCCAAAGAGCACCTGGGTGGCCTCCAGTGTCTTTAAGTCATGAGTAAAGACACCGTAAACAGGTGGGTTCAGGTTTTCATGGGAACATACATTTATTTTTCTTTAATAACAACTGAAATTTACATCATTGGATGGAAACAGTGAATACACACTTGGCTTTGTAAGGAGCTGTCCAAGTGGCTTTTAGAGACCCAACCGTACAGCCCCAGCAACAAGAGAGAGCCCAGTGGCTTCATACCTTGGCCAGGACTCGCTTAGTACCAGCCGGTGCATTTCCTTCACATTCCAAAGTCAGCCCTTCTGGTGAATGTACGTATTTGAAACTTTTCTGATGAATAAAGTTAATAAACAGCAAAACATTTTATGTACTTAACTGTAATCTGTATATATTTGTATTGGAAGTACGTTTTTGGATAATTTGCCTAATTTTTTGGGGGAAGGGATACCAGAAATTGAACTCAGGGGCACTTGGCCACTGAGCCACATCCCCAGCCCTATGTTGTGTTTTATTTAAAGATGGGGTCTCACTGAGTTAATTACCACCTTGCTCTTTCTGAGGCTGGCTTTGAACTCGTGATCCTCCTGCCTCAACCTCCAGAGCCACTGGGATTACCGATGTGCACCATTGCACCTGGCCTGCCCATTTTTTATTGATTTTTGTTTTATTATCAAAACTAAAAAATTTCTTTAAATTTTTTAATTCAAGTGTGTTATCTTTCATAAATGCGCTATCAGTCTATAGCTGTCTTTGTTTTTCTCTTAATAGGGTCTCTCAAATGTGAAGGTTTCTAACTGTGATGCTCAGTTTGTGAATTTTTATTTTTTGCACTCATGCATTCAATGTCATACCTGAGAAATCTAATTCTAGATCTCCCCATGACCACTGGGAAATTTTTAGTTTTAGGTCTTATAGCTAATTCTATAAACTTGTTGTAGTTCATTTTTATTTATCTTATAAAGGTACAGACCCACATCTTCATTTTCATTTTTTAAAAATTATTACTGTCTAATTATTTCAGCATAATTTGTAAAATATATCACCCTTTAGGCATCAAGTTACATTCTCCCTCATGTCAGCAATTAGCCCCACTCCTGTGGGTTGTCTACAGACTCCAGATCCATTGATGGAGATTTCATCGACCTGTTCACACTGCAGCCAACACCCAGCTCCTGTGATCCTGGAGCTTTATAGTGAGTCCTGATGTCAAATTTGGTAAGCTCAGTGTCTTCATTTTTCCCCCTCTCTCTTTTTTCCAAAATTGTCTTGGATACGTGAACTCCTTTGATTTTTCCTAATCAAGTTTACAGACAGATTTCTGTTTCTACAAAAACAGTTCTGATGGCATTATTGTTGGGGTAACATTGGGTTTGTAACCCCCCAGGGGAGAATGGACATCTTAATAACATTGAGTCTGTTGTGGAAATGCTTTCCCCACTTGTCTAGGTCTTCTTTGGCATCTTTCATCATTGTTTATAACTTTCAGTGTCCTGATCTTGCATATATTTTGATAGATAATCCTATATACATCATAACTGAAGTTAATTATTTTCTGGATACCCTTTCTTGGTTCTGAATTAATATTGTATTTTTAAGTTGGAAAACATTCTCTACTAATTAAAGATAAATGAAATTATCATGAGATCTCTTAATATTTTCAACTAGTAACAGAATTACTTTAAATAATTGGGAGGCAGAGTTAAAATTTTTGTTTGTATTTAATCTCACCAATGTGTTTATTCGACGTACCAGCTTCATGTTGTTGTTGAAGACTTACAAGTGAACTTTTAAATAAGGAAGTTTTGCCTTTGAAATATGTAACTTGAATGTGTATTAAGAACATATTTTAATTGAGTAGCATTATAGACAATTTTACAACTAAAACTTTGCAACTTTCTACCCAGAGGATCAACGATGGGGTGAGACCTTATGCTGTGAGACCTTAAAGCACCTACAGAGCTTTCTCACAGAGCAGGACCCTCAGGACTCTTTCCCCTGGACTCCGGTGCTGAGGATGGCGGAAAGGGGACACCCATGCGCTGCATGAGTGGAATAACATGATGACCACCAAGCGACTAGACCTGGCCAGTGGAGCAATTCTGAGTGTGGGGAACTTGGTATCAATGTTCTTATGGATTTTCTAGGAAAGAAAGGGAAACAAATTTTGAAACGGTCATTTGTGTATAAATTATAGTAAAACCTTATTGCAGAATGATGTTGGCAATGCGGAAACTGGTCACGGGGACACTTTAAACTGCACAATTTGATTTAAAAAAATAACTTATTAGAAATAATGATTCATATAAAAATGCAAAATGGCATAAATTCTGACCAATACACAATAAGAGTAAAAAAATATGTAAATTAAATTGTGTAAGTTCACTCAGAAAAACATAATTCTGTGAGGAAATAAAAATAAAATGAATGCTAAATGGAAAAACTCAGGAATGTTTTCATTGTGCAGGCAGGAACTCGTGGAGTGACTAAACAGACCCACCATAGTTGCCCCTGACGCGATTCTTCAGAAATGAGAATGCGTTGGTTTGGTCTTTCAAGCCCATTCCAGCCCCTAACCACTTGGGTGTGTCGTGGAGATCACCAGAGGGTGGTACTCAGCTCTGGGGGTGGGAGGACACGCAGATCCGTCTGCCTGTGACCTGGAGCCACTGAACCTGGCTGCCGGAGAGACGTGTGAGTGGAGCAACGTGGCAGTGACAAACACCAGTGTTCTCTGTGTCTTGTCACACATTAAATTAGCATAAGTGACAACTGCATGCCTGTCTCTACTAATTTAAATTAATTCAGTCATAATAAAAATGAGTTTTAATGAGACACATTAAATGCAGGAGATCTGGTCAGGAGTGACGTTTCTGGGAAAAGTTCTGTTCTTTAGAATCATCAAAAACAAAGTTGACTTCTCCCTGGTCTGATGCCCCCTCAAAGCCGTGGCTATAGGGTGTTAGACTTCCTAAGTCCAGTAAAGATTTCCAGTTTTATGTCAAGAAAAAGCAACCTGAACTTGAGATGATTCCTCCGTGCTGACCTGGGGCTGCTGGGCTCAGCCAGGGTTTCCCTGTCCCAGGCACCTGGGCATCATCTTCCAGGGGACAGCTGCTTTTGCCACGAGCACTCTTACTTGTTTAATGTGTCTGCATGTCCAGGTCATGTCTGTGGCCGTACAGTGGACACTGAATTGCTTAAAAATGGAAATTTACCAGGAAAATAAGCAGTTTATTAACATTTCAGAATCAGAAAATTTATCAAAATCAAAGAATAAAATGCCAGAGCTTTGGTTTCTGTGCTTTTTGTTTGTTCGTTTTTGTTCGTTTGCAGAACTGGGTATTGAACTCAGGGCTTCATAAATGCTGGGAAGTCCCAGCCTGATTTCTAGGTGACTGTAATTCTCTGAAGGTTACAGATAAGAGATAGTTTTAGTTCTGAAAAGCACAGCATTGTTGATAGCCAGTTGGTCAACGAGCTGCTGTCCTCTGTTGTCCACAGGGGAGGACTAGACACAAGGTGCCTTTGTAGAACTTCAGGAGACTTTTGTGATGGAGTGAAGGCGCAAGTCCATGTGACAGTCGCCGAATTTGTATCTAGTAGATTTCAGAAGGAGGGAATAGTCACTACGAAGCAGTGTCTTCAGAGAGGATTTCGGAGTGGCAGGGAAGCACTCCGAATTTTCAGCATATCTTGGGATCTGGAATCTGTCGACAGCACTAAGTGAAGGTAGACGGGAGAGTCAGGTATTGGGTAGCACCAGCCGCAGAGAGAGTAACCATTGCACCCAGTTTAGAAAGTAGGATCTGGAGGCTCCTCTGTGCTCTTACACTCCCCCGCATGCTGAGGAGGCCAGCTAGACCAGCCCCGGGGGCTTCCTCTTCCTCAGGGAAAGGAGCGCAGGTAGTGTGGACAGGTGGGTGGACGCTGCAGGAGCCCGGAGGCAGGAGAAAGCAGACTCTGGCTAAACCCAAGAGCAGCCTCCGAGTCAGCTGGCTGTCTTCTCACAAACCCTGGCTGAAGCCCCTTCTGAGAAGAAGACTCGCCTGTGGTTGGGGACCCTGTGGGGCAGGGGCAGTACTTCAGGCAAAGATGGAATACACAGGAAGGCCGTGCCTCCAAAACCTAAGGGTGTGTGCTTTGACCTTGAAGAAGGCCACAGGGCCAGATCCCAGGGGTGGGGGAAAGTGGTGAGCAGAGGGCTGGAGCTCAGATCCACCCCTGTTAAGACCAGCGCACCACGTGGAGTGCCAAGATCTGAGTCCCGCTGGGCAGCACCTTTCTGGTGCATGTGGGAGATCAGGACCAGGTGGCCAGTTAGGAAGACTCCGAGGCCCTCAAGCTCCAGGAGAGGGAACAACACAGGAAGAAAACATGATAGCAATGAAGACTAAGGATAGGGCAGGTGCGTCAGCAGGACACCGTGAGCCTGCATGTGCTCAAGAGTTGGAAGGCAGCAGTCTGACCCTGGGTTACTGTCTGGGACTCACAGATCTATTGTTTACCAAAATGCACAACAGATGAAGAAGAGCAGGTTTGAGAACAAAATCATAAGAATTTTAAACTACATCACTCTGCAAATATCAGAAGCAGATACTGCAATTATACTGTGTGTGGAAGGAAAAAAAATGTCTGGATTCTCGAATTGGGAATTCAGAAAAATAGGTGAAATCTACGGCTGTGGGAGGAGCAGACACAGGTGTCTAAGGAGGTGGACTGTGCTTGCTCATGAAGGAGTCCTGGGAGATCGAGCTACACAGGTAGCATAGGGTTATTTTTATGCAGCTTTAAATATCAAACTACACAGTTTAAAACACTCCTGTAACTAGTGAAGAAAGTTCAGTGCTTTCTCCCTCCCCTGCCCCAGGAAATTGGTATGGTGTATAACCATTATGAAGCTAAAGCGAATCCTGGGAATTGTTGGTGGTATTATCAACAAATCACTGCAAAAATTTTAAATAGCAACTAGAAACTAAAGATGAATGCTATCACAAACCACTGGCCATAGACCAAGGAGAATGTGGACACTGGAAAGATGTTTTGTGATTTGCTACATCATCAAATACATATTGGTTTTTCTCCAGACTTTGTCTTGTCCCAGAGAGGCAAGATAAAATTAATTAAACCACAGCAATGCTGCTACATTGTGTGCATGCACAACTATGTTACAATAAACCCCACTATCATGTGTAATTATAATGCAACAATAAAAGGAAAAAATATTTAATAAAATCGGTGAGAGTTGCCCTCTCCATTCAGCATTTTGTTGATTCTGGAGATCAGAATCTTCATCATCAAATCTTACATTAAGAACTGAGCGTCCCATGGAGATGACTTCCAGCCCCGGGGAGTCCTGCAATCTGAGCCAGAAATTGATAGGACTGCACCCTCCAAACTGGAAATCTGGGTTCTTCCCTGTAGAGCAACGTTCATCTACAAAATATAGACAACTGTATTAAAGCAAGGGATAGTTCACTGTTCTAATGTGGAGAAAGAAGAGTCATCTAATGTGGTGAAAATCACCTAAAGGATTCTAATGGCATCCTGCCTGTTTCAGCATAGAGACAAGGAAACAGATGAAATAGGAAGTGGCAGAAGTGTGCACAAACCACACACATCTTTGTCATGACAGGGACCAGAGGTGCTCGCCTCTGGAGGGAGATTCCCATGCAGAGTAGCTGTTTAGTCCTGTCCCTCTTCTTGATCTATGGTAGTACACCTTGAAATCTGAGATCTCCTGGGATTTCAGAGATGCTCTGTGAAAAAAAAAAAACAGACTATTTAGCAACTCACTGTGCTCCCTCCTAACGCAGCACTGATGCTGAGCACTTCTGCTAGAAGGCAAGGAGAAGAGGGGACCCAGGCAATGGTGGCATGCTTCAGCAAGGTGTGCGTGTACCCGCTGCCAGGTGGGGTGGCAGACAGAGAGATCCAGGCCCCCCTCAGCGCTCTGGGTGGTCCCAAGGCCACAGTGGCACCCTGCAGTGTGGAAGGCAGAGCCCTGCCTTCAAGTCCATGGATCCATGCTGTCCACAGTCTGACACAAGCTCAAGCAGGGAACTCGCACAGGGAGACAGGCCTAGTGACATTTATGAAAGCTAATGCAATATACATGTGCGAGTCCCACAAAAGGAAATTAAAATCTAATTTCAGAATTTGATATCCAATGGCTGTCTAAAAAAGCAAAAGGCACAACAAATTAAGCTGAAATAATCAACTGCTGCCTGAAATCATTGATTTGAATCACACAGAACACATAATTGTCTCAATTGAATAGAGTCGCAATCCAAAACAATCCAGTTTTAATAACGAGGATTCTAAATGAGTCACAGTGAGAAAGGCCCAGCTGTGACTGCGTTTGCCCTGGATGATGATATCATCTTCTGTCTCTGCATAAAGCAATCCTGTTTATCCTTCCCGGTGCCCCACAAGTAAGCAGGCATTGTAGCAGGACCAATCTGCAGCCACTTTACAGGCTGAAGGCATCTTCATAATCACCATGACTTCATAGCTGATATTAGTTTTTTTAACAACCTGAAATGTACGTGGCTGATGCTCGAAAGGCCTAGAAACTGGGTGCCCAACATACAGCTTTGCTAGCACCTGAAGGGGTGGAGAAAACTTACTTACAGTCCTGGACTTTATCTGTGCCCTACAGATATTTCACATGAGAATATGGCTTTGTGAACATGGAAATGCTTTGTGTGTCCAAATTTGAGTGCAGTCTCTGGCTTTTTAAATTAGTTAATGGCCAGTTTATGAACCTTGGAAAAGTTACCCAATCTCCATGGGGAAAAGAAAAAGAAAATAAAGAATGCCTGTGAAGTACCACTTTGGGTGGTACTGAGAGCACACAGTGCTACAGACTTTCTTACTTCATCTTCAGATTTAAACTCTGAACTCTTTATGACGGTCTCATTAGCACTTGGTGTGAGCTTCACACAGAGCATGCTCACTCCTTATTTGTCAAGATAAATCAAATAAAACTTAGTGTTCTGTTCTGCATTTGCACCATCATCTGAGTGAAAAATCCCATTGCTCCAGCTTGCAGGGCCACTGGGAGGTGCCCCCTGTGTGGATAGGGAGCCAGACACTGCCCCACCAGCCGCCAAGGGCAGGAGAAACCCTTCACCTCAAATGAGTATCCATACTTGGAAGAATAGAGCCATGAATTTACAAGAGTAATTTCAAGTTTTCTCTGTATTTAATCTTCTGTTTCCTCCCCAGTGCTTCTCATTCACATTTTAAACATTGTAATTACCAACTGCAAAATCCCCAGGGGCATCCACATTCGAATTTTGAGAAATGAGGAAAAGGGGTGTTAGGCAAGGCTTCGAGACATTTAGTGAAATTTGGCAATCTTTCATTGGGGTGCCCAGAAGGAGGGAGACTGTGGAAAATTCTGACTGTTCAGATCAAGCAGTGATGTGTG